TAAAGTATTCGCAAACTTTTCTACGAAAAGATTTCATCAAAAGTGTTTAATTTTCCCAATTTAAAGGGGTTGGAGAGCTTCTGGTAATGTGAGCTAATGTTTTTTTCAGGAACAAAGGAAAAAGACTGTTTGATCCGAGGATAAGATACTAGTGATCAAGAGAAGCCTTGTCATTTCCTTGCTCATCAAGAACTCATGTTGCACACAGTAATGGTAGAATTGCTTGTGCTGAGAGCGGAGTCGCCTGTGTAACAAGATCATCATAGCTGGTCTCTGCATGTATATATCTATGTACAGATTACAGTCTTACAGTCTTCGACATCTACCATTCTTATGAAAACCATAAGCAATGCAGGTATGGCAAACCAAGGAGCACAAATCTTGGTTTTGACCTCATAATGCATAAGGCATAATGAGGGACGCATAAGATCCCATTTACCCTGAGTGATCCTGATACAATGAAAAAATAATTGATAGAAAACAGCGGTTCGATTGAGCAGAGGTTAGGCTTGCACTATGTAACGTGACTTCCATTGACTCAGAAAAAGCGTGCGGCTTTTTCGTCAGTTGGTTGGTTTGTTGTTGAACGCCGCACTCGGCAATATTCCAGCTATATGACGCCGGTCTGTAAATAATCCAGTCTGGACCAGACAATCCAGTGATTAATATCATGGGATCGATCATGACATGCATCAACCAAGTCAGTGAGCCTGACCACCCGATCACTTTAGTCGCCTTTTACGACAAGCATAGTCACCTTTTACGGCAAGCATGGGTTGCTGAAGACCTATACTATCCCGGAATCTTCACGGGTCTGCGGCTTTTTGCTTTGGAGCAGGGGGTATAAAGGATATATTCTGCCTCTCAGAAATCCATGTGCAACCTGACTTACTCATGGTGGGGTATAAGAGATTTATCCCCCCCACCCCTGAGAAATTTATTCCCCTCCAAGGCAGGATGCACAGTAGTTTATCAAGATCACCTGGATCAATGAGATCTCATTATTCTGACAGAGGTATCATAATGATCAGTGTCTGCACCTGGAGGAGCAGCAATGGCTGATGTGAAGCCAAACCCATCAGTAGCATCAGCAGCAGCCTAACAAGATCAACTTGCATCAGGCCTCTCAAAGCAGATGTATGATCAGAGAACCCCTGTGAAAAACCATTAACCAGTTCATTAACCAGACACAGGATTAAGATATGCTGATCCACATTTTTTGCTCCCTTATACCAAACATTTAGAGGCCTCCAAGTCTATTGACTGATTTGAATGTTCACGTTATGTGAGTGAGTGAGTGAGTGAGTGAGTGTGAGTGAGTGAGTGAGTGAGTGAGTGAGTGAGTGAGTGAGTGAGTGAGTGTGTGAGTGAGTGAGTGAGTGAGTGAGTGAGTGAGTGAGTGAGTGAGATGTATTTTATGCCGCTTATAGCAATATTCCAGCAATATCACAGTGGTGAACACCGGAAATGGGCTTTATACATTGTACCCATGTGGGGAATCAAACCTGGGTCTTTGACGTGACGAGTCAACGCTCTAACCACAAGGCTATCCCAAACCCCTACAGCCACCACACAGTCCAGATCTGACCAGAGTAAAGAACTGGAGCCAAAGATCTCATTTCAATGAAACTGTGAGTGACAAATCACTGCTTTCTGAATGCTGTGCCATTATGTGCCATTCACAGTTGTCCCTTCCAATGGGGTACCCTCAAATACTGTTGGTCCACGCAATTGTAGAAAAGACTCTCACTGAATCAGGACCACACAAAACACAGTGTAATATTAATATTACAATGGGGAAAACAATGTAGACCTATTTACTATGGCATCCATACTTACAACAGATGGCCTATCTCATTCTTATCTCATTCTAGTTGACTACAAAATTGGGTCACTACTCACGGATCGTCTTTTTCAACAAATCTTGAACATTTCTAAAGAAGGCACATGTGAAGACGCTTCATGATATGACTAGGAAAGATATAAACTGACCTCACATAACAACAGGTACATACAAATTGTTCAACAGAAACATTCCTACACTCAAATTTCTATTTCAGGAATTTATTTCATGTGAATTCAACTTAAATGCAGCTGAAAAGTGCCTTGATAATGGTTTATGATTCATGGATCACAGTACCGTATTCAGCATCCAGGGTGCTCTCAAAATTAGAAATAGGGGGCTCTTATGAGAATATTATTTTGGTGAAAAAGGCTGCACACATGGCTGCAATGTGTGATGCCCTTTTCTGGTGCCCCCTGCTGTGATATTGCTGGAATATCGATAAAAAGGGGTAAATCCACACACACTTACTTATCAGGTATGCCAAATTTACCAGCGGTGGAAATCAAAAGTTTTCGTCCACTAGTCCTTATAATGATAAGATATAGCAAAACCCATAAAAAGGGCAAATTTCTACTAGTCCTTATGATACTTTAACTAATGGGCAGTTTGTCAAGGGCTACAGGACTAGTGCCAATTCCTAACGCTGTTTACCTTTAATGATGGTGTACTGACTTTAAATTGCCTACTCCTGTCTCGTGATGACATGTGGTGTGAGTTGATTGTGCGTCATGTCAAGGACCGTGTGACTGCTGGCAACAGCTGGCCCAGGTGACACCACACCAAAACGTCAGCTCCATGATGATAGTCATCCCCACAACAACACTAAACCCACAGCATCTTACTGATCTCCACCCTGCACCTTCCCTTTCAGCACATACATTCCAGGGCCTGGAGTAGGACACCACACACAAACTTATTGTTCACCACAAAAATGAGTAGGGTCTTCTGCTGTTTTGGCAATATTCCAGTAACATCATGGTGGGCTTAACATATTGTATTTATATAGTGAATATTTATAGAGTGATCCAAACCAGCCTAACAAGTTTACTAGGTCCATGTTGGCATCCCATTGGCCTATGAGATCAATCAGAAATAGGGAACAGGAAGACCCACATCCAATGTTTGTTTGATGTTTAACACCTCACTCACCAATATTCCAGCGATATGACGTCGGTCTTTATAAATAATCGAATCTGAACCAGACAATCCAGTATTGATATCATGAGCATCAATCCATGCAATTTGGATTTGATGACATGCATCAACCAAGTCAGTGTGTCTGACCACTGGATCCTGTTAGTCGCCTCTTACGACATGCATAGTTGCCTTTTACGATGAGCATGGGTTGCTGAAGACCTATTCTACCCCGAATCCTCACGGGTGCCCTCATCCAATGAGTGACTTAGGTTAAAGCTGCCTTGAACAGTATTTCAGTTACATCCCAGCCTGACAGCTAAATGTAAATGTATACTACTCACAACAACTTAGAGGACATCCACAATAGGAGGGCTGTGCGTTGCACTACCCTCCCGCCATGACAGATTTACTCTAGTCATATGAAATACCGGGTGTCCCTTTGAATAGTATATGTTGGAGGAAAGCCCTAAGTCATGCAGCTCTTACCCACTTACCATTTTGACAAGTCAAAAATCATTTGACAAATCAAGAATCATCAATCAGGACAAATCTGGGATTCGAACCCTATCTTGAGGACCCAATTTGACATAGCAAATTACGGTGCCATAGATGACTGGCTTGGTGACCAAAATTTGTTGAACTTAGTCCAAATGGCCTCCAGACCACACATGCTGAATCGGGTCAATTGGAAAAATAGCTAGTTTTGTCGACTATTTATTTCCACTCCCAACACATCTGAATTCCCATTGTCAAGACATGCTGTCATGCTGCTGTCATGCTTGTATGTCATGCCGCCATGCCACTGGCTCAAGTTGGCAGGGTGAGGAAACACTTCATCCAGCAAGGCCACAGAATGATGGATGAACTAGTACAGAACATGTTCTGCTGTTGTCATGGCAACAATGACCAGCTTCATGACAACATCCACTTAACCTAATCTAAGTTTTCCCAAGACTGTTCAACACAGTAAGCTTCACGTCATTGCCTCCATAATGAAGATGCTCTGGTGCAATGTGTGCAGTTACTTGGCAGATTCAATCAATTAGAGGGAGAAGGAAATGTGCCATGGTGTATTGACATCATTTTTAAGTAACTGCCTTTATTTCTTAATTAAACCACAATGAATTAACCGTGATTGGCTGTAACGAGAAGATCGACTGAAAAAGCCTACTTTGATGCAGATTGGTTGGGAGAACTGTCAGTCCGCGGCTAACAGAGTTCGACCATACATGCAACGTGGTTATTTGAGATTTCACACTGCCACATGTGTAGAGCAGATTTCTTAGCAAAGGCTCTTAATCACTGATACTCTTCATCAAACTACACAAGTAGAACCTTCATGTCTTATAGCACGCACGATCATAGAGCTAACACAATCGTAACTCCCATACTTTAACATAGACTTACGATAGTCGTAGCACTAAAATCGCTTCGAGGAACAAGGCGCTGTTCCTTAATAGCCAGAGTGCCATTGTATAAAACAACCTCAGTGTTACTATGAACACAAGCCTATGTTAAAGTATGGGAGTTACGATCACCTTATCGCTAAGATCCCTTTGTACAGCGGCACCAAGGTCTTGCGACAAGCATGGGACACTGAGGGCCTGTTCTTCCATAGCTCACTTATTTGCAGTCACTATAGGGGCGGTCAGGTAGCCTAGTGGTTAAAGTGTTCGCTTGTCACAATGAAGACCCGGGTTCAATTCCTGACATGGGTACAATGTGTGAATCCCATTTCTAGTGTCCCCAGCCGTGATATTGCTGGAATATTGCTAAAAGCGGCGTAAAACCATACTCACTCACTCAGTGCAGTCACTATATCACAACAGCCTGTCAACGATAAAGTCTGGACCAGCAACACCAGTGGTTGCACATCCCCTTTTTTGTCAGAAACCTTCAGTGTCAACCTGTCATGTGTTTTTGTTCACTTCGGGACTGGAGCAACGTGTGCACGTCACACACTCACTGACTTTCCAAACCCTGGACTGGACTCTGGGTCAAAACGGTATATTCTTACCTAAATCTTCTATTTCCATTTTGTCTACATCAGAGTCCATTGATAACTGTAAAATAACATCATTTTAAATCAGAACCTCAAACATGTTTGAGACAGGGTGACAATGTTATTAGTATACAGCACAAATCAAAACTGTGTCAGTTAATCCCCACAGGTAGGCAATGAACAAGTCAGAAAATATAAACATCATAATTTGTCCAAGTTCACTGCATTATTTTTGTAATTACACCAAGGCCATACATCATGTTTTACATTTAGCTTGGGAAGGTCTAAGCAACAAATATACAACATATTTTTGTAGGTCAATTATTTAGAGCATGAAGTTATCTCTGTTGTTCCAGGTTTAGTATGTGCATCTGTGAGGGAACCTTGGTCTTCGCAGGTGTTTGCAGAGGCCACTGTACATGATGCTCTTGATCAGTGATTATTTCAAAAGTCAAGAATTTCTTTTGGTTACTCTTTTTTGAGCCAATAATAATTCAGTGTTGTTTACTTGATATAATGACCATAGCTTTTGGCTGAAGTCAGTTGAACAGGAAACCAGTCTTGGTATCAAGATCATAGTTGCTAGATCACTTTTCTTCTGAATGTGACGACTTTCCTAGAAACTGTACGAGTGTACCTTCATGAGGTCGGACTTGTATATAACTGTGCGAGTGTACTATCATGAGGTCAGACTTGTATATAACTGTATGAGTGTACTTTAATGAGGTCGGACTTGTATATAACTGTACAAGTGTACCTTCATGGGGTCAGATTTGTATGTAACTGTACAAGTGTACCTTCATGGGGTCAGACTTGTATATAACTGTACTACTCCTTCATGAGGTCGGACTTGTATATAACTGTATGAGTGTACTTTAATGAGGTCGGACCTGTATATAACTGTATAAGTGTACCTTCATGGGGTCGGACTTGTATATAACTGTACAGGTGTACCTTCATGGGGTCAGATTTGTATATAACTGTACTAGTGTACCTTCATGAGGTCAGACTTGTATATAACTGTACAGGTGTACCTTCATGAGGTCGGACTTGTATATAACTGTACAAGTGTACCTTCATGAGGTTTGACTTTATATAACTGTACTAGCGTACCTTCATGGTGTGGGACTTGTATATAACTGTATGAGTGTACTTTAATGAGGTCGGGCTTGTATATAACTGTACAAGTGTACCTTCATGAGGTCAGACTTTTATATAACTGTAGGAGTGTACGTTCGTGAGGTCGGACTTGTATATAACTGTACAAGTGTACCTTCATGAGGTTTGACTTTATATAACTGTACTAGCGTACCTTCATGGTGTGGGACTTGTATATAACTGTATGAGTGTACCTTCATGAGGTCGGACTTGTATATAACTGTACTAGCGTACCTTCATGGTGTGGGACGTGTATATAACTGTATGAGTGTACTTTAATGAGGTCGGGCTTGTATATAACTGTACAAGTGTACCTTCATGGGGTCAGACTTTTATATAACTGTACAAGTGTACCTTCATGGGGTCAGACTTGTATATAACTGTACAAGTGTACCTTCATGAGGTTTGACTTTATATAACTGTACTAGCGTACCTTCATGGTGTGGGACTTGTATATAACTGTAGGAGTGTACCTTCATGAGGTCGGGCTTGTATATAACTGTACAAGTGTACCTTTCATTGGGTCATCAGACTTGCATATAACTGTACTAGTGTACCTTCATGGGGTCAGACTTGTATATAACTGTACAAGTGTACCTTCATGGGGTCAGACTTGTATATAACTGTACAAGTGTACCTTCATTGGGTCAGACTTGTATATAACTGTACTAGTGTACCTTCATGAGGTCGGACTTGTATATAATTGCATGCGAGTGGTCATTCTGGAAGGATCGTGCCATGGTGGGTGGTGCGGACTTGGGCTCGTTGCTGGACTGGAACCGGAGGGGCGATACTGGAACAGACAATTAACAAACTGCTAACTCAGGCAACAAACAATGTCAGTTCATGCATAGGTTATCTCGGACATAACAACACCCTAAAACATCAAACAATTAAAGTTTTAGTTGGTTTCTCATGCAAACTCTGAAATAAAATATCTGAAAACTCCCTGGCAATTCTACAATTAAATACCAAGTATACAGATCTTCCGCTTCAGTCTCTAAAACTGAAGAAATTCCCTGTGCTCCTTTAATTTGATATTACAGGACGAGTGAATACAGAATGTCTGTGATCACAAGCAAGCATCTTCGCGCTTTGACTGTAATAGTTCAGAGGAAAACTATACATTATTACACTACACATGGGGTTAGAGCAAACATTATTTCTTAAACAGCCAGCGACATAATTCACTAGTGTGAAGTCCGTATCCAGTAAAATTCTGTTTGGTCTGGTAAGCTCAGCCAATAATAGTCAAAATAATGACAATAAAATCTAATGAAAATGACGCTAAGCGCCAAGTTTAGGCAAGTTAACTTCAAAAGTGTCTGGCACAGTCTGGCATATATCATCATCCTGTAGGCTGTTCAGTGAGTGAGTGAGTTAACAGTGTTTTACTCTGGTTTTGGTTGTATTCCTGCAGTTGGTTGGTTGGTTTGTTGTTGAACGCCTCACTCAGCAATATTCCAGCTATATGAAGGCGGTCTGTAAATAATCGAGTCTGGACCAGACAATCCAGTGATTGATATCATGAGCATCAATCCATGCAATTGGGATCAATGACATGCATCAACCAAGTCAGCGAGCCTGACCACCCGATCCCGTTAGTCGCCTTTTACGACAAGCATAGTCGCCTTTTACGGCAAGCATGGGTTGCTGAAGACCTATTCTACCCCGGATCTTCACGGGTTGTATTCCTGCAGTATCACCATGTGGATACAGAATGGGCTTCAACCATGATGTACAGGTGCCCATCTCCACATAAAAACAAAGAATAGGAAGCCAGAAAAGTGCCTTTTTTTTCCACTGTAACCATGGTAACCATAACTTCTAATTAAATTTCTTCTTGCTCCAACTTTTAACTTAATGTATTCTTGAACAGCAAAGAACAATTAAAAATTAAACAATAGTGATCATTCATTAGGATGGAATTCGACATGGATAACAGGCTAACAAGTTCCTTCAACCAACACACATATATTGACTTTACAAGACCATTTGACCACAGAAAAATCTCACGAGACCCCAGGTGATGCTCTAACCCTGTAGGCACTCGGGTTTGATTAGGTTTCCAGAAGCGTACTGCTTGTCGTTAGAAGCAACTAAGTTACATCTGGTGGTCAGGCTTGGTCACATGGCTGATTGCATGTCACCACACCCAGATGGTTCTCGGACATCAGTTTGTTTGTTGTTTAACGCCAATCTGGACCAGTGTGTGTGTAATATTCCAGCAATATCCAGCGGGGGACACCAGAAATGGGCTTCACACATTGTACCAACAAAATGTCGGGAATCGAAACCGGGTCTTCAAAGTGACGAGTGAATGCTTTAATCACCAGACTACCTGACCACCCCTCTGGACCAGTAAATCCAGTGACTGACATCATTAACATGGATCTACATAATTGGGATACGTTGACATGCATCAACCAAGTCAGTGAGTCTGCCCACCCAATCCTGTTAGTAACCTCTCACAACATGCATAGTCGCCTTTACAGCAAGTATGGGTTGCTGATCATGAAGACCTATTCTAGCCCGGACCTTCACGGCTTGTGTGGCAGACATTAACATGGATCATAGGAACTATAGGCATATGATAGAGCTGTAATGTTGCTGACCAACACAATTCATCTACTGATTGATGAAAAATTTGACAGCTCCCAGTGATGCAGGTAATTATATACCTCGAGTTGCACAGCTCAGTTAACAAACACAGTGGTTACGAGGAAAATGTACTCTAAGGCAGTTCAATACTGTTTACAACAATCTCCTTGCTTTGTGTTCATGCCAAGACGCATACTTAGTTTTCTATTCAAACATCAGAAGTCAAATAAATACCTGTCTTTGTCAAAGACAGCACTGACACCACACACTTCAGCAGTCATACTGCCCCATAATCTAACCTTCCCCATGGGGATCCAGGGGGTCTGGATCCACCAGATTTGAAAACCAAATGTAGTATGTTGTAGGCAGTAAAATTATCTGAGAGAGGATTTTGATATTTTGGAGCACTCCCTTTTGAAATTGCTGGATTCTTCAATAATACTTGCACCAAATGAAATAAATGATTAACTACCTAAAAAAACAACTGCTGTGCCCTGTTAAGACTGCTTGAGTAGTATGCATTGCTTGCTGGCACTATTCAATCCTCCTTCCATACAACAGATCCACTCCCAGCCATATCAACAATGGGTTTAATGAAACATGGTTGCAGCAATCGTGAATTAAACTTCCCAGAGAACCATATGAATTGTTAAAATGCTTAGAATCTATTTTATGCTTAATGTTCCTTTGCCATTTTCAAAAAACGGTTAACAATGAATGCACTGCAGAAACAGAATTTGAGATCCTAGTTTTAACAATCGATTAAGGGTAAGCACTTCACGCAGTGGTGCAGCATAACAATTGCTGTAATATCGTGTAGCGTAATTAGCTTCCATCTGGGCTCACTTCCCCCTAGGTCAAGGTCAGGTCACCTACTTTCTATACATAGTCAATAGGTCAGGGCTAAGCAGGTCACAATAACAGCACAGCTTGTCAGGATTATGCTAGCCCGTAGCCCAAGGTTCTTCTGTGAAACATACGGTACTACAAGTCTAGTGGTATCACAGTAAGGTATGGAGTTGGACCGTGTAAACCAATGACTGAAAGTATGTGCAATGATCCATACCATCATGGCACAACGACCCACATCAGCAAAGTCACAGAGCTCAGAACAGCCTGAGTACTTGACAAAATAAGTTTTTAACTAATGAGTCAGCTTTTTTAGCCACTTTTCTGAAATTTTTGTGGTCAAGAAATAGTAAGGCTAAAACATTCTAAAACCAATGCCAAAATTTGGGATAGTGGACTCCAACGACTTGAGTAAGTGAGTGAGCTTTTACTATAGATGAGTTAAGTCAGTTTATCTTGGATGTATTGCGTGCGTGCGTGCGTGCGTGCGTGTGCGTGCGTGGATAGTGGACTCCAACGACTTGAGTGAGTGAGAGAGCTTTTACTATAGATGAGTTAAGTCAGTTTATCTTGGATGTATTGCGTGCGTGCGTGCGTGCGTGCGTGCGTGCGTGCGTGCATGCACGCATGTGTGTCCTTTAGCACAGCAATCAGCAATATTCCAGCCACATGACAACAAGCTGTAACTAATGAAGTCTGAATGAGACAATCCAGTGATTGATATAATGAGCATCGATCCATGCCGTCGGGGAAGATAACACGCTATCGACCAAGTCACAGAGTCACCACATTTTACGACCATCTTAGGTGCTAGGGACAAAGCCAGAATCCCTCAACAGATGGAAGTAATAAACTGATCATTGTTTACCATTGTGATCAATCAGTTAACCAGTGTTAGCAACCGAAATTAACTACCATATAATTCAGAGGTAGGAAAATAGATTTTAAAGTAGCATTTCCTTCCCTTGCTTCCACTAATCCAAGCCCAGCATGATCCTTGCAACTGTCCAGCACAGCTTGTGTGCAAGTTGTGGAGGATTAACACTGTTTGAAATGATGAGGAAGGCTTTCTAAAGAAGTATTTTTAAACTCCTTTTAATCAAACAGAAGGACAAATAGATTCTTCTTTTAACCCAGGCATTAATAGACCTTTCTAATGACGAACTAGTATGGACCCCAGACCAGACATTAGTGACGGACTTTCAGATTTCCGTACTGCAAGTTATTGCAATAATCATGATAATGATTCCTGTATTGCAATACGCACCACTGTATATTGCATGTGTTCTTTCTAATGAACCCGAAATAAAATGAACCCATACACACTTCCCCCTGCACATTTTGGACAACCCCATCCACCATTTTATTGAATGTTGCTATGCTCACAACGCAAGCGTAATAGACACAATTATATACAAGAAGCTGGTCGGGAATAGTTTTGCTTTTTCAATCACAGGAAACTAGGCACTTATGTAAACTTTGCCAAAAAAAGATGAAAATATACATCACTTGGAAAACGTAATATACCCTATTTTCCAAACATATTGTGTTACATATTCAAAAGCATATCAAAAGGTGGTATGCTGGTAGTACCATGCACCTCTACAAGACACAGTCAGCAGCACTCATACTTTAGGCAAAAACAGTCTAAAATGGTGACTACAACGTGTGATCTGGTTGTCTCCAAGACGTTGCTCAAGCCATCAAGCACGAGATGAGCTGGTCAGGACTCAGTTATTTATAACTCATTGTGACAATACCTGCGACGTGACTGTCATGTGACTCTTACTGTGGAGTACCGGTAGAAGTATTGATTCCTTGAGGATAAGAATAAAACATGCTGACACATGAAAAAACCAAACTTTTTAAAATCCCCTTCCTTTGACATTAAAGGACATAAGGAGTAATCACTGTGTTTTTAAACACAAAGGAGCTTTCGAGAAAGAAGACAATGAAGATTAAAATGACAGATAACTCAATTTGACACCCATCATTTGCAGAGCTGTTGCACAAGTGATCTCAACATCGGAAACATAAAGCTAAGATGACAGCATCTCTGCATCACCTGTTGCATGCTGCAGCCTCATGTATTTATATAATGATTACTAAGCATCTAAACTGTCCTCTGCAATGCCCTGAACTTGTCCATCTTAACCATCCATGGTTAAAAGGCAATCTCTTTTACATTTTCAGCTCTTAATTCATATAAAACAATGTTTTCAGAATTTTCATGAAAATCCAACATTGATAATATTTGGTAACAAAGGGATTAAACTTCTGCCCTTTTATGGTAGGATGCCGATTTGCGATGATTAATATAGGAAGGTTATGTGGTATAATTTC